TAAATCAGCTGTCTTTTAGAATGTTTTTATATAATATTGGTACTCTAAGAGAACGATGGGTAGATACTTAATAATTCAAGTGAAAATGGAAAGTGCTAGTAAACCAAAACTAATGCTGGTATTCGATTATCTTTAAAGAAATGATTAATCGCCATTCAAGTCTAATTAAAATTACAGTTGTTAAGGAAGAATTAAATGATATCACAATATCCCTTTAAGATGTGCTGCTCTTTGAGAAAAGGGAAGCTACTGGTATATACCGAGGAAAGTTAATCTGCTTAATCCAGCATCCCCTCCAGTGGCAATGGTGAGAAGATAGTTCAAATTTTAAAAGTACAAATTGTCCAGTTTTTATCATTTCTATATAGCATCCATAAATAGGATTTATATATTTAGATAAAAATGATAAATAGCTTTTATCTGAAGGCATAGTGTGTATAACAAATTACCTTTCATTATCTGAATATTACTATAGTTTAAAAGAGTAGTAGAGTGAACAAAGGGTAACCTCGAATGTTTCACTACCACTGTGAACCTCAGTGCCCTCTCCTGCCCTGCCTACCACATAGAGTTGTGAAATTAACACATACCTGTGAAAGTGTATTGTTCTTCTAAAATGTGCATATTATTGTCATTACTTTTATTTCTTAAATATCAAATGATCTAATATATACAAAGTAATGTCATTTAAAAGACATGTAAGATATATAAGGTAATATTATATAATAAAAGATCAGATTATGATGTTTTAGTTTTACTCTCCCTTCTTTGAGAAAATTAATACACCATGATCTATTTAACAAAACTGAAAAATCATGAATAGTTTTTATTCTGCTATAATATCCACAGTTATAATCCTTGTTACCTATTCCTTTTATCATTATTCAGAGTAATTGCTTAGTTTTAGAAAACAAACTTGTTTTTATTTCTTAAGAAAATGGGGGAAGAGGGAATATGAAGTAAATATGGGAAAATATTAGCATTTGTCAAATCTGAAAGATAGATACATGGCTGTTATACTATTATGTTATGTTGGAAATATTTTTATCATTTAAAATATAATATGAATCATAAAAAGAGAGTAAATTTATGACTTGTAAACAAGCCCTAAAGTTACATTTAATCAAAATCTTTAGTTTCCATCTGTACATAGGATCAGAATCACATTTGTTTCATTCCCCAGAATTATACTGACATGTCCACACATGCACTTTCCTAGTCAACACAGATAGATTCTCACTTTTTGCCTTACCATTTGATGCTTTTGTACAAAGGCCCATTCTCATGAGAATTTTCCTTGTATGACATGTCATGCTCCTAAAAGAACTAGACAGTCACTCTGATGAGTCAGTGGGATAGAATAAATACTTAATGAGGATCCAGAGGCTCTTGTTCTAGCGCTGCCACGTTGCTCTACCTCACTTTTAAAACACTACTTTGGGGACACGTGGGTGGCTCAGCCGGTTAAGCATCTGACTCTTGATCTCAGCTCAGGTCTTGATCTCAGCAGGTCATTGGGCGTAGAGCCTACTTAAAAAATAAATAAAACGCTACTTTGCTCTGAATATTACTTTCTTTTTCTATAAAATGAGCATGATATTACCTGTTCAATCTACTTCGCAGACTTATTATCAATAAATAGAGTTATAGTATGCAACAAAAATGAAGTTATAGATCCTCTGACTGTTGGCATACATTTGTACCTGACCGTCTACTAAGCCATGATCTCTTACTAGATCCCAGACACCAGAAATATGCAACAGAAAGTAGAGTCAAAGAGAGGGGCAGAGGGGGATAGAGAAGAGCAGGACCCAAAGAATGCACCCAGCTGTGATAATGAACACAATGAGCCCCCCAAAGACCCTTCCAACTTTGAAATTCAGTGTTTTGTGAATACGCCAGACACAAAGTAGAAAGCAACACTGAAAATGTTCTTTGAATACTAAAAGGCATAAAATCCCTTTTAGTTTATTTCTGCAAGTTAGAAAAGTTCATACGGAGAGCTGATGACTCTGCAGTTTTATAGAATAGGGAAAAAAATCTTCCCCAGATAATATAAAAACAAGTAAGAAAAAAAAAAATCACTGAAATGTATGTTTATTTGCATCATCAGCTAGCATGTCCCAGGACCTTTTATCCACCTACAAAGATTAATATCCTGAAGATGTGTATGTTACTGCTGCTTTGTTTCCAGGGACTTTACCATAATCCTCTGAAGTTGACATGTTATAAATTACATATTGTAAAACTGGTGAAATTAGCTGATGTCCCTTTGTACTAACACAAAATTGTATTTTGTTAATAATATTCATTGTCCATTCACCTGAACCACATTCCACATTATCCTGTGTTTGTGTTTTTCCATTTACTCCATTGACCAGCCATTTGGCTCAGCCTGATGATAATAATATTCAACAAGGGAAGGGCCTGGAGCTCTGGGCATGCAGTGATCAGGAACCCATCATGTGCATATCTTATAGTATTTCAATACAATAGAATAAGTTGCTATCTTTTTCACTAATGTAAAATGAAAAAGACTGATGAAAAATCTGTACAAAATACTTAATTCAAAACTACTTTAAATACACCCATTATTGAATATAATTCTTCTAAGATGTTTGCCTAACCAGTTTAACTTTGAAAGGGATTTTTTTAAGGGTTTTTTTTTTTTTATGTTTTAACATAGATCCTATCTTTATCAAATACCTGGGTACCTTTTTGGCTGCATAAGCAATTCAGTAGATGATTTTAAAGGGTCCCTATGTTTGTAGATTGAAGCCCGTGTGAGCCATTTTTCAAACTTCTATATTTGTGTCTTCTCCTTGGGAGCTTTCTCCTCAGAACCAAACAACCCCCAATATACTCATAGACAGGCCAGTGCTTGGAGAGGAGAATTTTATCCAGATCCAGTAAGAGAACCAACCAGTAAATGAAACTATTTAGGCTGGAACCAGGCCTAGCTTGCTAGAGAGCCATTTGGGCTTTTCACATATAGTTCTGAATGTATCTAAGGCCCAATCTATGATTTTCTTCTGTGTTAGTCATAAATATTCTCCTAAATAAAAACTATCAAGCATGCTAAAGTTGAACTTTGCCAGGGTGTTAGGTATGTTTATATGATAAGCTTCTGTCAGTAGTACAACAATAATAGCAACTAACCTTTCTTTAAAACTTATTTTGTACTGTGTACTATTCCATAAACTGTTTTATATGTATTATGTCACTTAATCCTCATAACAACCCTATATTATCTCTACTTTATAGATGGAAATCTGAGGCAAAGAGAAGTTAAGCAACTTGTCCAAAATTCTACATCTAGCAAATAGTAGCACCAGGATTTAAACTCAGGCAGTCTGACTTCAGAGTTGAGATTCTTGATCTCTGTGCTATGCCACCTCCCAACTAGCTTATCTCTTCTAGAGCCTTAGAGAGTTGAGGGTAGCCTCTCAGGTGAATCTCAAGTTCCTCTCCTTACCTCTGTCACCCATAGATAAAAAGGGAAATGATGTCCTACTTATAAATCTTCTCCTCCACCCACTTTTCCTCCTCCTTTCTCCCTCTCTCCCCCATCAAATAGTACCTTAAGGTAAAGGGACATGAAAAAAACTTCACTATCAAGAGTGATTTGGAGGAATGTATGCTATCTCATTGAGACATACTTTGATTTCAAGTTAACAAAAAAACATTGAGGCTAACTTAAGCAAAGGAGAGGTTTACGGGAAGATGTAGGGTTATCTCAAGGAACCCAAGAGCAAAATAGTTGTCAAGAGGGACTAAACTCAAGAACTGGAAAAGCAAGCTAGGATTGCTCCCTTGTTAGATGTCCATGGGGAAAAAAGAGAACTACCTCCCTTCCCCACAGGGTAAGAAGTTCTCAGAAAACAAGGGTATACGCTAGACAGATGTTCCTCAAAAGGCTCCCTTTCTGTACTCTGTCATTTGAAGGGGAATGCAAGTGCAGTGTGTTCCACCAGTACCTTTGTATGGAATTCAAGTAGTAACTGGATAGTTCTTTTTAGCTAACCCTTACCTTCCTGTCCCCCTATAAGCCCCCATACCTGGCACTTTGATTTTTTTCTCAAGTTATGCCTTTCTAACCCACCTAACATCCAGAGGATAGACTTTTGATATTGCTCCATCTCTTCTTCTGAGACCTTTGACTTGTGCAATCAAAGGGCCTGTAAACTGGTCTTTTCAGCTGACTATCAGGAATCTGCTTAGTTTCAATCCCTAATATTCATCCTGTCCTTTTACCCTCTCAGAATATTTCATAGTCTCTGCTTTCCTTGTTTTTTCCTAATAAACACCTATTGCCTCTTTATATTTCTAGGGAACCCCCACCACCACCCTTGTCTTGCTAGATGAAGTCCCAATTCTTGAGCTTGAGAGCCTTCCAAAATCATGTTCTATTCCAGTCACTCAAGTCCTTCACTCTAGATAGTTCTTTTTCCCCATATTAATCTCCACTGAGGATGCATCACAGGCTGATCCTCTTGTTTATAAGGCCCTTTCTCATTTGTTCCACCTGTGAAAATCTGGCCCGTTTCTCAAGGCTTAACTAACTTAAGTCATATTCCCTTTATAAAGAGTCTTGTGTGACCTCTCCCAACACCTAGGGTCACCAACCATCCCGGTTTGCCTGGGATTTCCTAGGACATGTGACTTTCAGTACTAAGTCTGGGATTAGCCTAAGCAAACTGGGATGGTTAGACAGCCTACCAGCACCTCAATGTCTCCCTCATTATGCTGCCTTGTTAGAGCAAAAAGCCCTGTGAAAGTATCAGTAGCCACTACTTCCACACTTACAAGGTTCTTTCTCCGCAATAAGAGTTATGCTTCCATTGGGCAGAGACCTTTTTGATTCCCACTTCATACAGAATATAGTGCTATACCCATATTAATGCCTACTCAGTGAATAAAGTGGTTTAGTGTTAAGTTGGCATTTAAATATCTAAAATCTTGTCTTGTGGTTAATTTATTTGTCTTTATTTTTTTTCCAGCCCAGATGACTTACTCAATGCCTTGAATGAGGGTATCAGTCGTGCTGATGTCATCATTACATCAGGGGGTGTGTCCATGGGGGAAAAGGTATGAAAAAGTGGGGTTCATGAAAATTTGTCTAAGGTAATGTCCTTGATTAACTTTAGTCTGGTAGTTATCTGTTATCTGCACAAATCTGAAAATCCATAGGGCTTCAGAAATGTCTGGGCGTTCTAAAAGGGATGCAGTATGGGTCGATCAGAGGGCTTACCTCAGGAAAAGCTTGGAGAATCCTACAACTTGCAAAATGATTTTCATGTTCCTTTGAAGATTTCTGTTTCTTTGCTTACTCAACTTTACTATAACATTAGGACTTCCTTTATACATGATATTTACCCAAGATCCTGTCCTCCCCGCCACATATTCCAAACCTGATAAAGAACCCTTAGCTCCTCACAGGGAGGAAAGACAGGATTAAGTATCCCATTGCCCCTTTTGACAAATAATAATGATCATAATCATAATAATGATGAAAATAAAATACAAACATATATATTAGTATGTATAGGATTTCATAAGACTAAGTTATTTGCATAAAGTATATGCTTAGTCCTTTAAAAATCACAGTTTCAGTGTCTCAGTGTCATTAACTTTATATATCTTAATGAAATATGTTGGTTCATGATGATAATTGGGTCCGTTGAATAATATTATAAAAGCAAAATATACTTTACTACAATAACCAACCTGATGGGCGCCTGGGTGCTCAGTCGTTAAGCGTCTGCCTTCGGCTCAGGTCATGGTCCCAGAGTCCTGGGATCAAGCCCCACATGGGGCTCCCTGCTCCGCAGGAAGCCTGCTTCTCCCTCTGACCCTCCCCACTCTCATGTGCTCTCTCTCTCTCATTCTCTCAAATAAATAAAATCTTTAAAAAAAATAAAAATAAAGAGGGACGGGGGCAGAAGGAGAGAGAGAATTAGAGGAGAAATATTTGTAGTATCTATTATTTAAATTAATCTCAGCACCTGTGATGCATAATTTTGGTACTATTTTTATTTTCAGTTTATTTCTTACCACTTATTAAGGCTCTCATCAGTTCCTAATGTTTATTCTCCTCCCTTAAAGTTGTAACACTGTGACCTCAGTCATTGTATAAATGCTACTATGTTCTGATCTCAAGAGGAGAATTGAACAATAGGTGTTGGGTTCCAAGGAAATGGCTTTCTCAAACTTAAACAAAAGCTTCACAGTCTAGCAATAGGACACTCATGATAGCAATGCATGATAAAATGTATTGTTGTAATAGAATCTTTTTAAATGAATACCTTTAGAGAAATCACAGAACCTATCTGCAAGATGCAAAAGATGATTTAAATTGGCTTTAAATATAGAAGGAAAGGATAATGCATTCCTTCCTCACTCTTATTATGTGTGTTAGTTTGCTTTAATAAAATGGTTTAGAAGTTTAAATGGGCTTCCTTTACTTGGCCAGAATTTATACTTGTCTAAAGATAAGAAGAATTTAAAGGTAATTGCTCCTTAATAGTAGAACAAGAAATATAAAAAGCTCAAGAACAATTTAGCTTTGCTCTTCCCACATACAGTGCATTAAGAATATAATTAACCTCTTTCATTTTAGACAGAGAGGTACTCAAAAAAACATTTGGAGTATTATCAGCCAGGACTACCAATCATAATTTTTATGGGTCATCTACAGTGAACATAGCTGTTGTCAAGAGCGTATCTTGGAAATTATTTTCATCACATAGTAACAGTCGTGGCCAAATAACTTATTCATAAATTGATATGATAATCTAATCTAGCTTTTCTAAAATACATCAAAGAATCATAAAGTAAGCAAAAAGGGTCTCAGAGTAGCCAAAAATAGATGTTACAAAGTACACCCACTAACACTTCACAGCAGACCCTCTAAGAGCCTTATCAAATTATGAGCCATAAAGTTAGAGAAATCTGGGTTCAAATCTTTGTTTCCCCACCTAGTAGCTAAGAGATTTGGACCAAATTTCTTAATCTCTCTGAGTCTCAGTTTCCTCACATATGATAATTGTCACCTCATGGGATTGTTGTGAGAGTTAAAATCAAATAATGGACATAATGCATAGATGTTTCTTTAAAAATAGTAACTTCTATTATTATTATCATTCTGACAGTATAACTATTATTACTACTCTCTGGTTCCCAAACCTAAAGCTAGCTTTTTTTTTTCTTTTTTAAGAGAGGGAGTGTGGGGAGGGGCAGAGGGAGAGAGAGAATCTTAAGCAGGCTCTATGCCCAGCACAGAGTCCAACAAGGGGCTCAATCTCACAACGCTGAGATCATGACCTGAGCTGACATCATGACCTGAGTCAAAATCAAAGCTGCTTAACTGACTGAGCCACCCAGGCGCCCCCTAAAGCCAGTTTTAAGGGCCAAGATGATGGAGTCTAACATTAAGGGGAGCTACAAAAAAAAACTAGGGGGAAAAAAAGAAAAGAAGCACAGTGTGTGGTGTGGAGTTATGGTTTATAGGTAAAAACAATACATAATATACCCTTGTGACCCAACATCACTATAGTATAGCAGAGTAGAATAAGTTAATAATGATGGGGATTCCTGGGAGGTTCAGTCAGGTAAGCCTCTGACTCTTGATTTTGGTCCAGGCCATGATCTCGGGGTTGTGAAATTGCGCCCCACCTCAGGCTTACATGCTGGATGTGGAGTCTGCTTAAGATTCTCTCCCTCTCCCTTTGCCCACCACCCACCCATTTTCTCTCTCTCTAAAAAAAAAAAAAAAAACCAAAAAACTTAATGATGGTTTTAAGTCATCAAAAAAAAGTTAATGTTCATCGTATTATTGCAAAAGGTAATGAGTGGTCCATTTTTGAAAGACAAGCTGCAAAAATAATAAAATAAAAACAATTTAGGCACTTAAAAAGATACTTTTCAACTACATGGAAATTTTATCATTCCCTAGGGATTCTGTAATGCTCAAGTTTCATTAATATAATGAAATTTTTAGCTGGAAGTTCATATAAAACATAGTCAATAGAAAAAAAATCACTATTCTTGACTGCCCACCTACTCCGTGCCACTCACACTCATCCCTTCCCACACCCCCTCCATGATAAGGATTCATGTTAGATAAGATTCATGTCAGAATCTTGAGGAAGTATAATTGGAAAATATTTTAAATTACTGTTGCTTTAATTTTGTTCTAGTCATGGTATTTTATTTTGACATTTCAAAAAATTCCCTTATAGGAGGCCATTTTTATGTTTATTGCTGAGTATAGCTTTAAAGGGTTGAAGACTACTCAGCTTGAACAGCAGGCATTTATCTGATAGACATGTATTACCAGCTAGTCTTCTGATAATAAGAATGATTGTTGTAAATCTCCAGCAAAAATAATATGGACATTATTAACTAGAGGGGTGGAGAAACTCCAGGATTTGAGTTACATTTCTCTGGCACTAGCAGGTGGGGAGGGGGAAAGCAAGCTGCAGAAAACCAAGAAGTTTGGTTACTTGAAAACGGAAGATACCAAAAACATATTAATTTAAATGCTCTTGAAACTTCATGGTATAAAGGTTTAAGGAAGAGTCAACAGAAAAAAAAAAGTATTTTTATATGATAAATATTCTATATGAAGAACCACATAGCGAGAAAACTGGAGTACTTAATTTACTTGTCATATTACTTAGCAGTCACTAACAACGTCTTTTATTCTCTAGCCTGCCAACAACATTTGCGACTTTGGATATTGATGGTGTAAGAAAAATAATCTTTGCACTACCAGGTAAGAATAATTGAAATAGTTTCTTTTGCTTTTTCTGGAAAAATGATCAAAATCTTTTTGAATCCCTAATAGAGCACTTGATTTGGAATCTGAAAGACCTGGGCTCGTAAAGCATGACCTTGGACAAATCACTTAACCTCTTCAAAGCTATTTCTTCATCTGTAAAATGGACCTAAAATCTACTTTGTACGATTGGTGTAAAGGTCAAATTAGATAGTATCTTTCAAAGCATATTCCAAACCCTAAGATGATAATCAAATGTTAGCTGTCACTAAATCTTTCTGGGGTACCTGCTTTTCCTTATAGAAAATTGGTCAAAGGTAGTAGTCTAATCACCTCCCATAGTACCAGTATTGTGTTCAAAGTTCGAAAGGGCCTTGAATCAACCATGCAAGTAAATGCTATAACAAAAAAATACAAAGCTGCCTTTGGTCCTTGCCAGATTTGGACTGGAGCCAGGAGATGGGGGGCAATACAGAAGGAGGGACTACTAGTGCTGGTGCTTCTCAGCCAAACCCCAGCCATCATCAGTCTGACCACATCACTGTCCTCATGCTTGCTCCCATGTGAGCAGAAACTCGTATGTTCAAATTGTAGAAAAAGCAAAGTAGTTCCATTTATAAAGACTTTCAGTTTCAATTTTTATTGATGTTTGCCTTGCAGTTAAAGCCATGCTTTTAAAGTCATTACCAATCTTGATAAATTCTAAAGCAGTTTAGGAGTTTTGTATGTCTACTTGTTATTTTTTCAGCTTTTGAAATTATGCTCTGATCTGTAGCAGTGTCCCATTCTATATTTCTTGGCACAGATTCCTTCAGAAAGTAACCTGCTTATTCCTTTCAGGAGCACAAATCTTGTGGCTTTGGGATATTTATCTGCTTTTTATATTAACTAAATCTCAAAATAGAGTATAAAGAAACGAAGGTAGCAGAAAATTTTGAAAAGCATTTTTTTGAGTTTTGAGTGTTGAAAGCATTTTTAAAGCTCCTATGTATAAGCATAAAAGAGATTAGATTTCTATCCTATAGGAAATTTTAAGAGAGAAGACAGGTAAGTAAAGTAGTCCTCAAAATGTATCTATGGAACTCCTTGGGGCCTTTATTAGGGCCTTTAACATATGTATAGTTAGATACTCTGAAAAAAAAATGTGATCCTCTTCCTGGCTTCATTTTGCCTACAAAAGACTGTTTACTTTGTCTTCAGAAGATATGACTTGACCTACCGACAAAGAATGTTACAGTGGGAGCCTATTTTGCCATTACTTTTAAACTTGATCTGCCAAAGAAGTGATAATTAAATAACCTATTTTCAAATTGCTACTTTCACTTGCAATTTTCTTTGCCCAGCCTGAATGAACCAAAAGAGGGCAGCAACAACCCAGATGTTCAGATTGTGGAACCAGTAAAGTGGTTCCTTTTAAAAGGATTTTAAAATTCATGATTATATTTCTGCTTTCCTGAAGGGTACACATTTAAAGCCATTATTAATCTTGATAACTTTTAAAGCAGTTTAAAAGATTTATGTATCTACTTGCAATTTTTTTAACTTTTAAAATTACTGTAATAACATATGCACTATAAAAACATTAGAAAATACAGGTAAACATTAAGAAATATCATCCATAATCCCTTCCCCCAGCACAAAATAACTACTATTTGCAATTGCTTGCAATCCATTTTTAATAGAATAATTTTATAAGGCAATAGCATTATAGGAATGCCGGTAATCATTGCTAAACAATAGCTTTTTTTGTTTTGTTTTTTGCTTTTCCAGAAAAATTTTCATCTATGTATTTTGAGACAAGAGAAAAGCAATTAATTTTCATTAAGAGTATGCTGTGCTGTTGAACTTGTTTTTCTATTGAAATCATTATTACTCATCACTTTTTACAACTTAAAAAAAAATCTATTCTTAACTACTTTTGTAGGTAGAAGAAAATTAAAGGTATGGTTTTAGCTAATAATAGGCTAAACTAACCATTGCCTTTTACTTTGATAATGCAATTAACAGCACATAGCCAGGCCAAGGGAATCTAAAAATCTACTAGTCCGTCTCCCACCCCCAGTGTATACATACATGTTCAACAGCACTGTATAAAAGTATTAGTATTAATAAAATTTGAATTTTAGACCCAGGAGGGATATTGAGAATCATATAGTCCAAACCTTTCATTTTGTAGAAGAGTAAAACTAGATTCAGAAAGATTTGGAACTCACCCTGAACAAAAAAGCGTTGCTCAGTTTGTTTAGTTAACAATACCACACAAGAAACTAAATCTGTGATTCTCAGCACAGTCATTTTTTTCATAGCCTACCTTTCCTTCCTTCAAAGTGCATGACAGTCCCAGCCCACATGACACTTTCTTCTTGGAAAGGTACAACTGAATTCCTCAAATTTTTCTTATAACTTTTTAAGATTTATTTATTTATTTGAGAGAGAGAAAGAGCAGGGGCCAGGGAGGGGCAGAGGTAGAGGGAGAGAGAGTCTCAAGCAGACTCCACACTGAGCACACAGCCAGATGTGGGGCTCGATCCCACAACCCTGAGATCACAACCTGAGCCAAAACAAAGAGTCACACGCTTAACCAATTGCACCACCCAGGCACCCCAAATTTTTCTTATAACTTTAAAAGAACTTGGTATTTCTATTAGTCTGCTAAGACTGCCATAACAGAGTATCACAGACCAAATGGCTTAAACAACAGAAATTTATTTTTTCACAGTTCTGGAGACTGAAAGTCTAAGACCAAGATGCCAGCACAGCTGGTTTCTGTTGAGTCTTTCTTCCTGGCTTGAATATGGCCACCTTCTCACTGTGTCCTCACATAGCTTTTCTTCTGTGTACATGCGCTCCTGGTGTTTCTCCCTCTTTTTACACAGACACCAGTCTCATTGGATTGGGACCTCACCCTTATGACCTCATTTAACTTTGATTACCCCTTTAAAGGCCCTAGTATCTACAATTTATATTGGGTGCTACACTTCAACATATGAATTTGTAGGGGACACAATTCAGTCCATAACAGTATTCATCTTCAAGTCCTTTGCATCATAAATCATTTAGGGTTTTTTTTAATATAAAGAAATTTCTGGATGAAGGAGATTATGGATACATTTCTTTATGCTTAACCTATTTTCTAAATGTTTTTGTCCTGAGCATGTATTACTATGGCAATTTTAAAACATCTTAAAAATAGCAAGTAGAATCTGCTTTAAAATTTATCAAGATTGGTAATGGCTTTCAATGTATAGTTCTCAGGAAAGTGGAAATAAATGGTGTAAACAGCTTCTGGGAATCAGAAGTTTCTGCATTTCACTGGTAGACCTAATGTTTACACCCTCTGTGGCCTTTGGTTGATTGTAGCTCTATTCTGGAGTCCTTTGGGATTTAGAAGAGGAAGATTAGTGGTTAGTCTCCTCACTCTTTATGATGAATGAAGGTATAGACAGTCAGAATTATTTGGCAAATTTTTATATGTATACTATAAATAACTGTTTGGTTGACTTTCAGGGAATCCTGTGTCAGCCGTGGTCACCTGCAATCTCTTTGTTGTGCCTGCGCTGAGAAAGATGCAGGGCATCTTGGATCCTCGGCCAACCATCATCAAAGCCAGGGTAATGGTATCTAAATGACCAGGAACCAAAACTGAAGCCTAATAACAATTAAGGATATGATTTCCCAATTGCCCAAAACAAACATCTAAAATTTTATATCATTTTGAGGGAAAATGTAGTTATATTCTCCCCTTCATGATAGAAAATGGAGGGGAAAAGCGTCCCTTTTATTCCCAGCCCACATTATTCCACTACTTCTAAAGTAATCATTTTCTCCAGCTAGAATCCATATGAAAGTGGATATGTAATGATAAAATGGTAGATAGAATGAGTCTAGCACTACACTAAAACTAAACCTATACAGAAGGAAGGACAAGAATTCCCTTTCCCCTGTGCAAGCTCACACAGGACAGCACTGCTGTCTGCTCACTTTTTCTGGGACCTTACTCATAAATTTTAAATAGTCCAGAAAAAGACAATCAATGGACTAGAAAACAAGTGAATCAGGAGGAAAGGGTGACCACATTGTGTGGAAAAGGAGAACTAAGGCTGAGGAATTATGCTTATAGGAAAAGTCACCTAGAAATTAGAGTCCCCTTCTCCACCAACACTAACTTCAATTTGATTTACTACTGCTACTTAGCTGATTATGTAACACACTTTCTGTATAACTAATGAACAATTTTCTTGGCAATATAACCTACAGTATCAAGCCATTGCTTTTTTTCAAAGCTTGATTGAGATACACATGATATACAAAAAAATTGCACCTATTTAATGTGAACGTTTTGATGAAATTGGACATATGCATATGCCCATATCATCACCACAGTCAAAGTAGTAAACATATCCAATGCCTCCATAAATTTTCCTGTGTTATTTTGTGGTTTTGTTTGGTTTTTTATGTGTTTGTTTTGTGGTATGAACACTTAACATGAGAACTATCCTCTTAACATATTTTAAGTGCAGAATACCATGGTGTCTACTATAGGTCCTATGTTGTACAAAGGATCTCTAGAACTCATTCACCTTGCAGAAGAGAAAATTTATACCCATTGAGCAACAACTCCCCAATGCCCCCCCTCAGCCTCTGACAATCACCATTCTATTATATGCTTCTATGACTGACTATTTTAGATACCTCATAAAATTGGAATCATGCAGTATTTATCCTTCTGTGACTGGTTTATTTCACTTAGCATAATACACTCTAGGTTTATCCATGTTGCCACAAATGGTAGGATATTTTTCTTTTAAAGCTGAATAATATTTCATTGTATGAGTATAGCACATTCTCCTTCTCCATTCATCTATCAATGAACATTTGAGTTGTTTACATATCTTGGCTATCGTGAATAATGCTACATGGGGGCATAGATATCTCTTTGAAATCCTGATTTCAGTTCTTTAAAATATATACCCAGAAATAGAATTGCTCTATTATATGTTCTCTTTTTAATTTGAGGGGAAACCTCATACTGTTTCCCCCAAGCAGTAGTGGCTGAACCATTCTACATTCCTACCAACATTATATAAGTATTTCAGTTTCTCTGCATCCTTGCAATACTTATCTTTTGTGTGTTTTTTTAATAATAGCTATCCTAACAGTTGTGAGATGGTATCTCATTGTGGTTTTGATCTGCATTTCCCTGAGATTAGTGATGTTGAGCGCTCTTTCATATACCTAGTGACCATTTGTATATCTTCTTTAGAGAAATGTCTGTTCAACTCCTTTGCCCATTTTTAAATCGGGTTATTTGTCTTTTTGCTATTGCATTGTAAGAGACTCATATATTTTGGATATAGACCCCTTATCAGATAGATAGTTTGAAATATTTTCTCCCATTCCCTTGGTTCCCTTTTCACACTGTTTCCATTGCTGTGCAGAAGCTTTTTAGTTTGATGTAGTTCCACTTGTCTATTTTTTATTTTGTTGCTTGTGCTTTTGGTGTCAAATCTTAGAAATCATTGCCAAGACCAATATCAAAAAGCTTTTCCTGTATATTTTCTTCTAGTTTTACTGTTTCAGGTTTTACATATAAGTCCTTAATCCATTTTGAGTTGATTTTTGTGTATTGTGTAAAAAAAGGAGTCCCAATTTAATCTTTTGCATGAATATATCCATTTTTTTCAAATCCCTAAACTGTTACATTTCAAGAGCTTAGAAATAAATTCAGATATGACAGAATGCTATGATTACTTGACAGGAAGAACACAAGGCATAGAAGAGGAAGAAGAAATATTAATAAAATATTACTGTGAGAATATATAGGATAAAACATTAAGAAAATCTAGGCTTCAGATATTCTTAACATTGACCTTTTAAATACTGAGATTTTGTAGACTAGTATATGGAGAGATACCCTCCTTTTCTTAGAAGTTTAGTAAAAGTTTGACTAGATATTTCTGAAAACAAATTATTTTGGGTTTTTGTTTCAATAATCATAGCAGTGGTCTTATTTTAAATTTAATGGAAAAAGAAGAAAAAAGCTATCAATGAACAAAAAGTATTCTGATCAAATCAGAAGGTCGGAGTTATAAAGCTTAGACATCTAAACCAGTAATATGAATTTGCTCACTATTTTCATATTTGCTAAATTTAGGAAATAAGAAAAATCCACATTGTTATAAGAGAGAAAAAGAGGACTTCTCTTTGACTTTGCAGAGTTCTTATGAATCTTTTTGTTTATTTCTCATTTTAACATTCACCATCTTTTCTTTAAAACTGACATTGTGGGAGCTATCCTTACTGACAACAGTAATTACAGAGCAGTATCCTTGGTACATTGCTCACACTGCTGCTCATTCCTGTCAACTCATGAAATTGACAATTGGTCTAAGAATCAGTCAGACTCCTTTCTCCCACAGAGCAGTGTCACAGGGACTGTCAGAATGGGTCATCAGGGTGTTTGGCTGTTTACTTCTTTTGTTTTTAACTCTTAAAGTCCTCCCCACACCTTTCCTGACATAACTGCCACTTTTAGAACATAACTTTATTCACTTTCTTGAAACAAGGTAAAGCCTATTCTCTCAATTTTCTGACCAGCCAATACGCAGCTTACAGACACCACTGATTACTATTCTCCAAAATGGTGCCGTAATCACAGCCTCTCCCAATCCTTACTGCTTTCGGGAAGTGAGATTGTTGTTAAATGCTGGTGTCAGTAACTCACAGTGCTGGATCTGATGCAGCTGGCCTGTGGTTAGGGCAATGCTGCGTTCTTTTAAAAGGTCACCACACACACAAAAATGTCATCCTTTTATATCGATGCGTTCTGACAAACATCAATTTAGAATAAACACTTGCCCTATGTCCTTGGTCAGTTATGGTTGAAGTTGAAATACTTCTGGTTTTCAGTAGACAATCAGAGACATCATCTTAATTCACTGAATTATTAACCTAATGTTTCTACAAAAGGATATCCTTTTGTGTTTCCTTAATATCCCACCAAAGTACCCTCTACTGCCCCTTGTTGTCAACTTTTTTCTCTAGAAACATACCTAAGATAACTCCTATTAGTATTAATAGCCCACCTCAGGTAGTGATTAAGAGAAGGGAAAGGGAAAATATTTTCATCTCCCATGGGATCAGGTCAGCATGTCCTGGAGAGTATGGGCATGTTGAACTCTACTGGACTACTCTAATTTGTCCATCTTACCTCTTCTCTTCAGCATTACTGACCTCATGGTATAAGAACATGGTGAATGCTTTCTGTCTGATGTCATAAACAGTAAAATACAAAGCATTTTAACAAAATGCTTATTTTGTTTGAAAATTGCTAAGGCGTCTGGGTGGCTCAGTCAGTTAAGCATCTGCCTTTGGCTCAGGTCATGATCCCAGGGCCCTGGGATCAAGCCCCGCATTGGGCTCCCTGCTCAGTGGGAGTCTGCTTCTCCCTCTCCTGCTCCCCCTGCTTGTGCTCTCTCTCTCTCTCTTTCTCTGTCAAATAAATAAAATCTTTTTAAAAAAAGAAAATTGCAACTGTAGAGAGAAAAGATATTTGCAACTGTAGAGAGAAATATGTTTATTGTGACAAGATCAGTCATTGATCATCAAAAGATATGGTGGTGGAAAAAAAAGATATTATTGGATGCCCGTTATATGAGAATATTATGGCCTGTGGATTAAAAAACAGATATTGAAAATTATAGAACTGTCCATGATCTATAAGAAATGTAAATCAGTTTTAACTTATTAGGAAATGAAAAATATAACTAGGTTATAAGCATTTTAGAAAAGTTAATTTGAAACTGATCCATGTGCAGAGATTTTAAAGTTACATGATAAATTCTAGACACATGATTTACAGGGCAAATAAACTCAAGGATTTCTCTGGAAGACTAATGAAACCAGTGCCTCATAACTTCATAGCACTTATCAAAAAAGTTAGTGTAAAGCTGCCATAACCACTCTTTGGAAGCTTTGACCAGACTGGAGCAAAGTCCAGGCCTCCAGGACCAACCAAGGCCTTGAGCATGTTATTTTGGGCCCTCACCCAGTAGAATCCCTGTGGGTTATCTGTTTTCTCACAAACTCTCTTCTCCGATCTATGCAGTCTTGAGTCCCAACCTATTCCCCTGAATCTTCTGGAGCTTTCACTTTTTCCTCATTACTGCCATCAAACCTTCCAAAGACATTCAGGTCTTTGGCAAGTGAATCATAGTCTACCTCTCTACCTCACCTCTTACCATCAGTTGCTTTATTTCCACAATTCTAAATACCTTTATTTCTACTTCAGCAACTCACACATACATCCCTTTTCAATATCCTGAAGTACTCCATCTCAAAATCACCACCTCTGGCATACAATTTAGGGACAAGGGCAAGTTAGCTCTCCATAGATATGAAAAGGTGTAAACACTCCTTTTACCTCTACCCCTTTCCATCAGTCCTCAAGCCCCACTGGCTTTGTCACTTCCCTCATCCAACCTAAATCCTGTGGTGTAGCATGTCAAGCATGTCAACTTTGTTTTGCCCCTTCCTTCCACAATAGCCCACTCTAAAAATCCACAAACTTGGATCAATCCTCCCTTCTTTATCCTTCACTTCTATTTCTAGGCCACAACTAGAGAAGAGTCACAGCTGTTCACGTTATCACTTCCAATTTACATACCTCAGCAGGGACCCAGATTCCCCTTGTGATCCCTTTATATCCTATGGGTCAACTTCTTCCAATAGTTACTACAGCCTTCCAAATCTTCACCATTCTCCTAAAGCTGCCTCCACCATCCATATCCCCTGACTTATGTAACCAAATAAGCCTGGCTTTGAATGATGGCTCCAACATTTACTAGATTATAACCCTTGACTTGTTTAACGATTTCCCTTCTTCTAATCTTGCCTCCTCCTAAACCCCTATTCTAACTCTAATCATGTAAGCATCTCCAGCTAAAATGCTTCCATCTTCCCATGACCCCAGGATTAAATCCAAACTTCTCACATGAACATAGGAGGCCCTTCATCCCAAGGCCTTTTTTTCTTTTCCACCTTCATCTGCGTCTCATCCTGCACTCTCACCATATTAAATGTATTACTGCTTCCAGAATGGATAGGAGATCTCCTGCCTGTGCCTGTGATTATTCCCTTTTCTAGAAGGTTCTTCCCCAACCACCACCATTTCCTTTCTCAGCTTTCAAGATTCCTAGTCATAAGACTCAGATATCGCATCCCCTGTGAAGCCTTTCTCAATGTCCCTAAGAACGGTTGATTACTTAGCTTCTTTGTGCCCTTTTAATACCATATTAACAGCTCAGGGATGACATTATTGCCCTGTATTTGCAATTAATTATTTACTCTGAGAATTCTTTAAGATCACTTCTCTATAAGATGGGCAGGACAAAAAGGAAGAACAAAATATTCTCCTTTTTTTTAGTTAATAAATTTTATTTTTTAGATTTAGGTTCACTGCAAAATTAAGTGGAAAGTACAGAGAGTTCCCATATACCCCCTGTCCTCACACATGCACAACTTCTCCCACTATTGACATCTGCACCAAAGTGGTACATTTGTTACAACTGATGAGCCTACACTGATACATTATCACCACTCAAGGTTACCAAGGGTTCCCTTTTGGTGTTGTATATTCTGAGGGTCTTGACACATGTATAATTATGTGTATGTACCATTATCCTGTCATACAGAGTAGTTTCACTGCCCTAAAACCTGTCTGTGCCCTGCCTATTCATCCCTCCCTCCATGCTGACCCTGGATCTTTTTACTATCTCCATAGTTTTATCTTTCCCAGAATTATGTAGCCTTTTCAGATTGACTCCTTTCCCTTAGCAATATGCATTTAAGTTTCTTCCATATCTTTTAATGGATTCATAGCTCATTTTTTCTAGTGCTAAATAATATTGATTGTCTGGGTATACCACCATTTATTTATCCATCCACCTATGGAGGGATACCTTGATTACTTCCAGGTTTTGACAATTATGGATAAAGCTGCTACGAACCCATGTGCAGGTTTTTGTGTGGACATAAATTTTCGAATTAGTTGGGTAAATAGCAAGGAGCACAGTTGCTAAATTGTATGGTAAGGGTATGTTTAATTTGGTAAGAAACTACCAAACAGTTTTCCAAAGTGGCTGTACGATTTTGCATTCCCACCAGGAATTCCTCCACATCAGGATTTGGTGTGGGCAGAGTTTTGCATTTTAGCCTTTGGTAGGTGGGTAATGATATATCATTGTTTTAGTTTGCAATTCCCTAATGACATATGATGTTGAATATCTTTTAATATGCTTACTTGCCATCTCTATATCTTCTTTAATGAGTTATCTGTTGAGGTCTTTCACCCATTTTTTTTAAAGATTTATTTATTTATTAGAGAGAGCACACAGGGGCGGAGGGAGGGGAGAGGGAGAAGAGAGAATCTCAAGCAGACTCCCTGCTGAGTGCAGAGCCCAGTGCAGGGCTCAGTCTCACAACCCTGAGATCATGACCTGAGCTGAAATCGAGAGTTGATTGCTTAACCGACTGAGCCACCCGGGTGCCCCTTGCCCATTTTTTAATCAGGTTGTTTGTTATTGAGTTTTAAGAATTCTTTGTATATTTTGGATAACAGGCCTCCATTAGATGTCTTTTACAAATATTTTCTCCCATTTTGTGGCTTATCATCTCATTCTGTTGACTTTTTTTTTCTGATTTTCTCCCTTAAACATTTACATGTAGAACATACCATGTAATATTATACCACATAATATGGTTTTATCTCTTGAGTGACTACTGAGTGTCAGAAAAATATTCAAAAGGAAACAGAGGAAACAGTCTGAGTCCACAGCCCACTCCAGTTTTGAACGAATAGAAGAAGTCATTGAAGTGAAACATCAATTTTTTCACCAAAAAAAAAGTCTGTGTTTACTCATGGTACATATTCTTGTAAGCACTGACACTCATAGTAAGTGATTTCTTAAGCTAAGTGATATAATATGCCAGAATTATAATGTCAGTACAACTAAATATATTGATTAATAAAGTATTCTGCGTTTTAGTAAAATACCATAAAAATCTAGTCAGTTTCATCTCTTGCTGCAGTTGATTCTTGTTTCTTAATTACCATAAATACCTTCTTTTAAAACAAACAACCCCATTTTTTAGATGAACAAACAGGTATAGGAAAGCAAAATAACTTGCTAATACAGACACCCATTAGCAGTACAAGTGGGAGTCGAACCTGGATGTCCGATATCATCCCATCCTGATATTTGTTCCACCGAACTACCAAGAGCCAATCTGTGCCTTTGCCAACAGAAATATCTGCGTAAACACTTAGCAAATAACACAGCCATGGGAATGGCTGTTGTAGTTTCATGCTAGAGAACACCCATACACAGAGTGACGGACTGATAAACATCTTTGCCGTCAAGTAAGCGCACAATAATTTAGAAATAATGGCAAGTTACCCCTCAGTAGATATGAAATAGAGTATAAACATAAGCAATATCAAGTGAAAGAGTTGAATGTGATTTAATCAAGGAAAAACACCATAGGGGGTGCCTGGGTGGCTCAGTCCTTAAGCGTCTGCCTTCAGCTCAGGTCATGATCCAGGGTCCTGGGATTGAGTCCCGCAACGGGCTCCCTGCTCAGCAGGAAGCCTGCTTCTCCCCCTGCTTGTGCTCTCTCTTTCAAATAAATAAAATCTTTTTTAAACAAGAAAAAAAAAAAACACCTTAGAATTGAATTTTATTCGGGATTCCAGAGGAAAAGCAGTAATTGTCAGAGTGAATAATTAGAATGTTTAAAAACAGCATAACCAGAATGGATTGGAGATAGACTTAACTGCATCAAAATTACTGGGATCTTCAAGTTATAATTTTATCATTGGTCTAAGTAATACCTGTTTTAGTTGGATAAAGGGTTTCTGGACCATTTTAAGGTAGAGTAACAAATGATTATTTTGCTAATGGCAAATGAACAAGTCTTATATTCACCAACATTGAACTAATCTTTGATGGGCTATAGTCCATCATTATATGCTCTATAAACTTGTTCAAGGTATACCTCCTAGGCACCTGCTACCAACACATTATCACTTTAATTTATTGGATTTCAGGATGAATTTAATGAAATAGATTTATTTTAATGGCTCTAGGTTAAAGGTTGATTAGTCATTCCATATTTTGTGTGTAAACTGCAGTTGCTATGTTAGAAAGGATTTTATCCTTATTGGAAAGATATGAAAGATGCCCAGCAAAGACTCATTCAGAGGAATACCAGTGATGTGCTAAACAAAAATGGTATATTTTTAGGACTATATTGGGACACTAGGGGGATATTTAAGAGAAAGTAACTAACCCTTTTATGTTAAAGGTAGGTATATGAATGGGTAGCTAAAGAGTGTCTCAGTAAATATTTATTGGTTGGATGGACAGACAGATTGACAGACATATAAATGGATATTGAGCTTATTTGTTTGTTTAGTTCTATTTCTTTTATTTTCAGTGTTTAAAAAAATGTGCTTTGATTTCTCAATTCATAGGTCAGAGGTATCTGTACTATCAACCCATAAAATTAGACTTCAAAGATAGATCTTATCTTTTTCATCTGCCCTTTTCCCCACTATGAATACCAACTTCTTAGCCTTCTTTTCTTTTTCACCAGAGCAACCCAACCTCTGGACTTCCTATATTAGGAACTTAAGGTGGCAGTGGTGGAAACAGCAGAATGCCAGGACACTTTTCATGTCTACTTTATTCCTTGCACAACTTCCACCACCCTGTAGTTTTAAGAGATGATCAGGTGATCGAGTTTGTTTTCATTTACTCTGTATTCTATAGTTATCATGTGATGTAAAACTGGATCCTCGCCCAGAATACCATCGGTGTATATTGACTTGGCATCACCAAGAACCACTGCCTTGGGCACAGAGTACAGGTTAGTCATTCATACCAGTGGGTATTTCTATGCATATATCCTGTTAAAACACAAAACTTATGTATAACCTCCTTCCTTGGGTACACCTAATTTTGTAATTGTTCTTCATTGTCCTTTTTGAAAGATTAGATGAGATAAATTATTTCCAAACAGTACAGCATAAGAAGAAAACAAGAGTAAAAACAAATTTTTTAATAAAGGTTTACTTATTCCATGGAACCATATTTTCTAGATAAACTTTTGAAATACAATTCTAGAATTACAGAAGATTTTTATCTATATGTTCAACCTCTAAGTCCTGAGTATAAAACTTTGGTTGTAGAAGGTACTATGACCATGCTACCCTGTAATGTGAGACTCAAGCTCAATTATAATGTGATTCTCTGTAGCCTCTACTATACCTTAGATATTGGTAAAGTTTAAGGACTGAGAAATCAATATTGATAACTCAAGAGTTCTATAGTTACCTTCTCTAGACTTTAAACTTTTATCCCCAAGTATTCTAGTCATATTTACCTAACTTTTGATGTGTCTCCAGAAAAGCTGAATCACCCTTTAAACAAGGTCCTATCAAGTACAAACATCAGTTAACATAGTGACTGAATACATAGGCAGTGTTTCCTCCGGACCTGCATTCAAATTGGCCACCAACTAGTTAGTAGGACCATAGGCAAGTTACCTAACCTCTTTTGAATCTTGTACAAATTAAATAAGGTAGTTAAGGAAACTACCCGCTGTGCTGACCGGCACTTAGTAAACACTAAAGAAATGGTAATTGTCTTTTTAAAAATAAGTTTTAAAAACCTCTCTTCTCAGACAAACAACATTTTCGCCTGAACTGAGAAATTCTGTGGCATTTTGCATAATGCTATAAAATCCTGTTTTATTCTTTAGAGCAATAATTTCTAATGTTTATTTTCAAAGTTTAGTGAGAAAGGAGTAGGATACAGTAGCAAGGCTACCTGGAAAAGGGACAGGGAAGCCTCGTCTTCTGTCTTCCTCTCGAAGACCTGTGTTTCTGTTCGTTGGTGTTTATTTTGAAAAGAACTGTAAGGGCTCCAAATGTATGCACTGTGATGTTGCTGCTACAATGAGATATTTCTTTCTAGGTAATCAGATGAGCAGCCGTCTGATGAGCATGCGCAGTGCGAACGGGTTGTTGATGCTACCTCCAAAGACAGAGCAGTATGTGGAGCTCCACAAGGGCGAGGTGGTGGACGTCATGGTCATTGGACGGCTATGATGGTCACCAGAGCGAGAAAGCTTTGATGCATGTCCACATATCATTGACTGTATCCTGTAATATGCAACGGCACAGCTAGTTTTTCTGATCTGGATAAAAGTTGATCTGTATAGTCAACATCTTGAACTATATTTCAAAAGAATTTAAATACACCTTTTAAAGAAAAAAAACACCTAAAAATAAATCTTAACAGACAATTCTATTCTGATTATATCAAAGCAAATTTTTCCTTTCTTGCAAATTGCTTTGTGTGTTCAATGCTAGGTCTGATAGCGATAGCTTTTAGTAGACAGCAGTAGGTGCCTGCAGAACTTGTGTTTTTCTCATCTTTAAAATACAACTAATTATGCTCTTAATCAAGGCTGTCTGCTTATTTATACTAGCGTAGGCAACACTTGGATTTCCCTTCTTAGTATGCTTCATAACCGCTTTTCAGAGAGCTTTTGCTTGTTCTTTATCATGTATCTCGTGTTTATGTGCACAGTGCCAACTGAAGAGTGACTGGGTGGGGAGGCCCTGCCCTGCCTCAGGGAGAACCCTCCCCCGCAGAGCATCCGGGAGGCCCCTCCCCAGTAGCCTCGAGGCACAGTACTCTTCGGCAGTAACTGGATACCTTTTATTTGAATAAACAAACTGGGGGAAAAAATGCTTCCTTAAGTGCTGACAGCCTTTTTAACCAATACATTTAAAGTTGTACAGAACAAAAAATAAAATCAAAGACTGATCTTGTACAGATATTAGTGTTACCAGCATTCATGTGGAAATCAAGAGCAAAGAAAAAATGTTAAACAACTCTGTACCATAACATTTTCTGTAATGATACTGAAACTTAATGAATAAAAAAAAAAATCCTTGATCATTATTTAAAAATCTATTGTATTGGTCTTGTTATTAAAAAAGAGAAGATTGTCAAGCCATTTTAATGAGGTTCTGCTTGGACAAAAGGAATAGTTAAGATGATGTGGCAAGGGTAAATGGTATAAAGGTGATTGAAAATGTGTTATATCTCTGTATTTTACTACAGCATTGCAAAAATACAAATTAGAAAATACAAGAAAACCTACAGTTGGTCTGGTCTTTTCAGTCATAGCTAGAGAATGGCAAGCAAATTTAGGGGGAAGAAACGATACAGAGGAAAAAAACTAATTTCTTATTATAGATGCAATAAAAACAAATTTCAAACATCTACAGTTCTTTGGAATGGAGAAAAAGAGTAAGTAATGAACCAGAAAATTGCTAGTGAGTAACTGGAAGTTTTTTTTATCATGTTAGGAAGGAAGTGAGAAATGGGAAAAATCAGTGCTACATATAGAAAATATACAAACAAAATAAACTCTATCCACATGGCTCCAGTAATAAAAACTTAGAGGCACTTTCTAAGTGGTGGTAACAAGGGACATTAAATATCCTGTAGGGTATACTTAGCAAAGCAAACAACAAAAATTGGGCTACTAGTGAACAAGGTGTCAAATGATGGTGATGAATAAAGCCAAGTAGTAAACAAGAAAAATTTGATACTGATATTTGATATTTCCAGAGTTGAAAATAAAATGATCTATATTTTAAGTCTTTTATATTTTCAGTTAAAGAACATAAGGTTAATTAATAGAAATTAAATGAGAGATCATGCAAAGTGTTCTTTACCTATATTCATTGAAGAAACATTTATTAAGTATCTACTGTGTGCTTGGGTACAAGGTACATCATACTACTGTTTAAAAGATGTATAGGGGTAACAGCTGACATTATACTCCATCAAGGGAAATGACAAAAATGTACAAATAACTATAATATTTAATATGCATGATATTTGATAATACATGGTAGAGTGTATAGAATGTGATAAATGCTATAATTCAGATTTAAAGAGTTGGAAGAGTTCAAGTGAGAACTTCCTACAAGGTAAGATTTCAAGGGGCAAGATGGGATTTTGGTGGATCTTGAAGGAAGAGTAGAATTTTAACGATGATGATGATGATGCAGGAGGAAGGGTATTCCAGAAACAGAGGATTATGGACAATTAAAAATAATTATTTTTATTATGGAATGTAAGATCCACATGGCAAGGATTTGTTTATTTTGTTCATTGATATTACCCCCAGGTCCTTTGAAGAGTTCCTGACAGATATACATATGTATAGGCATCAGTAAATATTTGTTCAGTGAAACAGATAGTATAGAGCTTATTATATGCCAGGTGCTTTTTTTTTTTTTTCATGAGAGAGAGAATCCCAAGTAGGCTCCACTCTCAGCACGGAGCCCAATGCGATGCTTAATCTCATGACCCCAAGATCATGACCTGAGTGGATATCAAGAGTCAGACACTTAACCATCTGAGCCACCCAGGCACCTCTATGCCAGGCACTTTCTAAGCACTTTTCATATGTTTAATTTTCACAACAACAATAATAGGGTTGTTATTTTTATATTACAGATGAGGAAACTGAGGCACAGAGAAATTAAGAAAATTGTCCATGGTCACACAGCTAGTTAGAGAAGGAACCAGGATTCACACTTAACAATCTGGCTTTAGAGTCCATACTCTTAAACATCAAACTACAGAAACAGAAAACTGATATATTTGTAAGACCAAAAAATACATTACATGTTTGAGGCCCAAAGTAAGAAGTTCTTAAACGCCAGGTTAAGAAGTCTAGATTTATTCTAGAGATATCAAACTGTTTAGAGACTCCTGATCAGGGAAGTGTTAGGATCAGAACTGTCTTTTTAGGAAAAAGGTCTGGCAGCACCAAGGAGGATGGATTGGCCTAGAGGGAACTGGAGTGAGACACCAGGTAGGAAGTGATCTGGTGCTGCATCTGGGGGGGGTGATGACAGCCTTCACATTAGTGGTGCAAGTGATGGTGGCGGAAAGATCATGACAGATGAATGTGCCTCTGGACATAAAGAATGGAAAGAGTTTTATGACTGATTTCAAATTCTGAAAAGGAAGGTATTGGAGTAAGAGATGAATCAAACTCTTTGGCCTTAGCTGACAGAGAAAATGTTAAACCATTAGCAAGAAATGAATTTTGTGGAGGAGATGATGGGTTTGGATAGGTGTTTGAGATGCCAGAGGAATACTAAGGTAGATATGTTCTGTTGGCATTTAAAAGTGTAGGTTAGGATTTCACAAAAGAGATACTGGCTGGATATAACCTTGGGGATCATTCACATGGTAGTGATACTTAAAATATAAGGGTGGATGGGAAAGATTAATAGGAGAAGAGGACAGGGCCTTGGGGAGCACCTTATTTTGAAGTGTTGGAGAAAAGAGATCATGAGTAGAATGAAAGAAAAAGATGTTTGTGGAAAAGAAACCAAGTAATTAAATGTCCCCAAACCAAGGAGAGTTTCCAGAAGGAAGGGTAATCAACCACCAAAAAAAAAAAAAAAGTCAAGCATGAAGGCTCAAAATGATTTGCTGACTAGGCAATCATTTGTGAGCTGCAAGAGTGCAATTTCAATAGTGGGTTGAGGGCAAAAGCCAGGTTGCAAAATAGAGTTGAATATAGATTATTTGGAACTTGTACATGAGAAAAGATAGATACAGGATGGTAGCTTAAACTGATAACAAGGTGGAAGAAAGACTTTTATTTGTGAGTTTTGAGAAAGAAGGAAAACAGTAGTGGGCATATTAAAAATGCAAGAGTAAGGTGCCAGATGGAAAAAGAAGATAAAGGAAGGGCTGGATTTAAGGATATGCTGGGGGCCTAATTAACCTAGAGAAGAAATGGAACATTTTTTCCTTCTGAGTTAGAAAAGAGATAAAAAAATATGAATACATCTGAAGTAGATACAAGGGAAATTTAAGATTCAATGAAATGGTTCTACTTGGCACAATGGAAGTTGATGCCATTTAACCTATTTGCATTTATTTGACCTAGTTATTTTAGAATTACACATATATGATATATTACAATTTTTTGTCTTAGTTGATACTTAAGTAAAAGACTATAGATGACACCTTCAGATTCTTGCTTCTAACTATGTGGAAGTCAAGCAGTTCCTTTTTAACCTACTTTTTTGGTTCTGTGTTTTAGTTGTTTCAAACCATATCACACAATGAGAAAAAGAACATAAGCAGAGTAAGTGTGCCAAGTAAATGCTATTAAATGATGTTGTATGTTACAAGTGGATTCTTTGGATGGCTTTCATTTTTAAAATTATTTGCTAATGAACAAAACTTTGTGGACCTAACCCACAACCAACTCTTGATCTTCATGAAACTCTACATAACAAGGTAAGTCTTTATTATTCCCAAATATAGAAAGTGGACATTTGTGTAAATACAGGATTCAAAGCAAATAAACTATGTGTCTTGTTATTCCAATGATGATGGATCTAAGTTAAATAATGCATTGCATTCTAACATGCTTATAAGAAGTATTAAGCTGCACTCTATAACAGAGAATTACATTTTTACAATGTTCATCAATAACTTGGCCTAGAGCCAAAAGGTTAAAGAATTGTTCAACTTGGGCCATTTTCTATGGTCAGCTACCAATATGTCTCATGAAGTATTTTTGCAATAACTCAATAATTTATTTAACAAGCATTTATTAAGTCCCTACAGTATGCAGGCTCCATGCTGGGCACTGAGGTTACAGTGATGAATGAGACCAAGACTCTGATATCCAAGTGGAGGGCATAGATTTTGAGAAAAAAAATTATTTGAAATATAGATTATGAAAAGTCTATGAAGAAAATCCAGTGATATGTTAGAGAGTAACTGAGTGGAGGCCTAGATCATATTAAGTTGTTGTGTCAGGGTGCAGCCATTAATAAAAAAGACTATTGAGACTTCACTGTACGAATAAGTTAAATAAGTGTTAGAGACCTGGAAAAGCACGAAGGAAACATTAAGATGTCAGAGGAATAACTACAGGAAGCAACTATCACAGCTGGGTCTGGGAGGCAGGAGGAAGAGTAATCAGAATCTAGACGTTCAGAGGTCAGACCCTTTGGAGCTAGGACTCAACCCTTTAAGGAGAAGGCACTGCCCAGCTGCTAATTCTGAGTGGGAAAAAAAAAAAAAATGGAGGCTAGAACCAGTTGCTATTTCCAGGGCAACACTGACAGAAACACAAAGGGAACAGGAAGAAGCACAAGTCCAAGCTCCCTGTAGTCTAATGCAACTTATCGTTGAACGTAACAGGAAGCCAGCTGGTGAAAGACACCGTTTGCAGAGTTCCAGCCCCAGCACCACCATGCAGAACACAATGGTGGATTTAGAGCTGAGAGACAATCACTAGTAAAGTGATGGAGAAGGGGTCTCTAAGCAGGTGACCTCTGAGCTCAGATCTAAAGAATGAAAATAAGCCCCACATGTTAAGAACTGAGAAAAGAGCATTTCAGACAGAGGAAAGGGCTTAAAGAATACAACGTCAGAAAGGACACAGAGTATGATGAGCAATAGGGGTACAGTCTGAGATAGTTAGAACTGAAGCCAACATGGAGCCAGATCATGCTCACAAATGTGCAGGCTCTTGGGTGTAATACTAAATACATACACACCTTATGATATATGCCATATCTGCTAAGAACATTGGGAAGGCACTAAAGGTTTAAGAAAAAAGTCTATTATTTGTTAAATACCCATTGAGTACAAGGCACCATGCTAGACAAGGATTCTTGGAAACAAGGAACTCATTCTCTTTGCATTAGACACTCCTACAAGGAGTACACAGACCTGTTCCTCTGTCGGCATTTTGTTTTCTGGTCTACCCAGTTTCTGAAACCAGAAACCTCTGAGTCATTCTTTCTTCTCACTCCCCACGTCCAATTAGTCACCAAATTCTGTCAACTCTACCAATAGTTACTAAATAACCCTCTCCTTTCTATTCTAAATGCTACTACCTTGATCTCTC